TTCTGAGTAAAACTGGTTTCAAACTAAATCCTAAACCAATTTTTTTCAGTGTGTGAATTTACTCTGAAACTAAAAAAATATTTAATTAATTTACTACATTATCTAAAACTAGACATAACCTTATTATTAAACTGCAATAATTTTTTTCAAATTTACTAGCAATTAGTACACTTTCTTAGTAAAAGTTTCAAAGTTACTCCAAAGTAACTCCAAGTCACATGACTTCAAGAATCATGTCTGTAACACCAATATTTAAAAAAAAATTACTAAAATTAAAAAAGTAATTAAAATAGTAATGTTTGCCCTGAAAAGCCAACAAAACAGCATCTGCTGCTTTACACTGAAAAACAAAAAATTGGTGCAGAAACCATTTACATTCAGAAATTGCTAGTAAATTTCACAAACACACTGAGTTAAATGTAAAACTTTGAAGCAGAAAAACTGACATAGTATATTCTTAATAATCTATTTACAACTTTGAGAAATCACTTCTTCCAGTGTACTCTTCTCATTCAACAAGCATGAGCTTGAGTTCAGCAGTGCCTTGGCTGGCAAAGAGAGAAGGATTAGAGGAAGAGAAGACGGAAAGAGCGAGGGATGGGATCTCAGAGGGCCGGCTGACATTTGGCTGGTGTTTGTCTGAAGGAGGCTACGAGACGCGAGGACCGCCTGCAGACTGTGAATGTCAGACGCTCCAGAGACTGTCTGGCAGATCTTCTCCGCTCGTTCTGAAGAAACACGCAAGACGACAGCGGGTCACAACATTCTGCATGAACGAGCGCTGTAAAAGAGCAGGGAATCCGGCGCGATCATCACACAGACGTTCACAAACACAGACGCCACATATTTCATGAGGACAAATTTGCAAACAGAACTTACAACCCATGTGTGAATATTTCATGCAGTCTCGTGTTTATGGATTCTACACGCCGTTATTAGAGCAGAAATAAAGGGCTTCTGCTGTGTAAATGACCCTCGCTGTGAGTCGAACCTGAACGACAGGAGGACATTTACATGCATTCATATTTCATACTGGCATGTGTTTTGCATTTCTATTTTTGGCCATATGAGAACGCAAATACTTATACTTTCTGAAAAAGAAATCAATTCTTTTATTCATCAAGGACGCATTAAATTGATCAAAAAGGTGTCAGTTAAGACATTTATAATGTTACAGTAGATTCCTATTTCAAGTAAATGCTGTTCTTTTGAACTTTCTGTTCATCTGTGAATCCTGAAAAATAAAATGCATCACGGTTTCACAATGTTTCAACATTGCTAATAATCAGAAATGTTTCTTGAGCAGAATATTAGAATGATTTCTGAAGATCATGTGAGACTGAAGACTGGAGTAATGATGCTGAAAATACAGCTGCGCATCACAGAAATAAATTACAGTTTAACAGATATTCACAGAGAAAACAGCTGTTTTAGATTGTAATAATATTTCATAATTTTACTGTATTTTTTGATCAAATAAATGCAGCCATCGGTGAGCAGTAGAGTACGGAAGCTTATTTCCGGCATGGAATAAAAAAATTAAAATGGTAATTATGACTTTTTAATCTCACAATTCAGACTGCGATTGTGAGAAAAATAGTATCTCACAGTTTACTCTTGCAGTTCTGACAAAAAAAGCCAGATTTGTGAAATACAAACTCAGTATTGCGATAAAAATGTCATAATTGTGAGACATAAAGTCGCAATTACCTTTATTTTTTTAGCGAAATAAGCTTTCATATAAGAGACATCTATCAAAATATTAAAAATATCACTGACTGCGCTCAAACTATCACTATTATCGTTAAGTTACAAAGGGAACTGTTTGTTTTTTCTCATGTATACATGCAGACCGGATCCAGAATGAACTCTGGCCTCTGTCTGAAGATATAAGATCACACAGAAGTGTTGAGGAGCGCCGGATGGACGGATGGACGGAGTGAAGGCTGATAGAGATGTCAGGCGGTAAATGTCCCTCCATGCGCCGCTTGTCTGCTCGGATCAGTCACCGTCACAGAGATGCAGCAACCTTTCCCCCTCCATCACACTGATTAACCCCCCTCTCGGGCCCCGGGGCCGTGTCAGAGTCTGCGTATCGCTCCGCATCGGCCCAGAAACCTTCACGCTCATAACCAGCTCCTGAGGCTCTTCCACCAGAACCGCTTTATCTCCAATCACCGTCAATACCTTCAGCTCCTCCGGACACCTCTTCCATATTTAATGTCCTGACACCTAGGGCTGTGCAATTAATCGAAAAACAGTTTCGATTTCGACCTCCAACGATTATGAAAATACAATAATCGAGATAAAACGACATTCCGCCCCCTTTTCCAGAGCTGCACGTTCGTTCCTCCATAAAAGCCCAATTTCACGTGCAAATCAGTAAAATCATGCAAAATGGGAAAAGTATATTTATTCATGTTTTTGACATGTAAAGTCATCTTTTAGCTCAAGGTGCGCGCCTAAATGGTCAAATGCACGCAAAAATGCGTCAAAATGCGGCGCTTAGTGATTATTCATGTATACCTTCGTCGGTCATGTAATAAATTAACGTAAAGAGTTGAGAATGAAAATACGCGTGTAACGGTAAATCGGATCCGCGCGGCTCTTAAAGTGACAGCGCGCTATTTTCCTGCTGCAACTGTGTGCTTCATATTAATCAAACAACAAAAGACAAATTCAAAAACACACACTGCTCTAGAGTGAAGGACTTTTGTAGCTTTAATAAGAAACAAAGAAAGTTTAATTCTTACAGTGAAGACTATGCTGTTTTATTTTACATTTGATTATTCATTTCTGTAGTAGCCTAGGCTGAAAACTGCTTGAGACTTGCATAAAAAAAACATTAAAGCACAGTTTGTTTCATTTGTATCTTTTTATTCTATTGTATGTGTCCTTTGTTTTTTTTATTACTGACAGTTTTTGTTTGTTTGTTTGAAATTCTGTTACAATGTAGATGTCATAGCAACCTTATTTACAGGAAATATATATTTGATATGTATCACGATCTTTAAATAAATCACTCATATAAAGTTTTGGTCATATGGCCCCCTCATAATCGTGTTAAATAATCGTGATTACAA